GTGGCTCTGCCCACTTCACTGTTCGGAGGCTCCATATCTGATCATCTCATTAGGCAAGGTGAATGAAACCAACTCGCTTACATGGCAGTTCATAACTAGTATAAATTTTGGGACATTGTGGCTAATGTGTGATTGCCACACATAGGGGTTGCCACAGCGGATAGAACCGCTAACTTATCCAGCATATGTTTTACGCAGTGGATGCCCTTTCAGCCGCAACACAACACTGGGAAACATTCATACACACTCCTTCACACACATTCACTAAGGCCAATTTAGTTTATTCAACTCACCTGTACCGCATGTCTTTGGACTTGTGATGACACGCAAACAAGGAGAACATACAAACTCCACACAGAAATGCCAACTGACCCAGCCGAGGCTCGAACCAGCGACCTTCTTGCTGTGAAGCGACAGCACTTCCTACTGTGCCTCTGCGTCACCTTTGAAATTAATATTATTTAATGTTGCTTTATTTTACCTTTATTTAGTTTATTATTTTTATTTTTTAAATTTTGAATTCAATTTTACTTTTTTTTTTTTTACAAAAAAAATATTTAAATTCCTACAACATTGCTTCCCCATAAAAAAGTTGCATTTTCTCATGAAGTAGGGTTAATAAGAAATCCTGCCAGTACTTTTAATAAAATATGTTGCTATAATTTTTTTTTGCCATTTTTGTCATTCTGGCAGGTTGTGGGACAGCGGCTGTGAGGAAACTGATGCAGGTAACACATCAGCTATGAGTTTTCTTTGCCCTCATACTGTATACCGTATTATTATTAGTAGTATTAGTAATTGTTGTAATAATAATAATAATAACAACAACAAAATTCAAAATGTGTGTTTGTTTGAAATGCGGTCTAGTTCTGTTCAATGGGAGTTGCCAGTGTGTTCATCCTCTTTCTCTGCAAGACGAGCAGTTTCATTCAGGCTGTTGCTTGTGTGTCTGTGACTATCGGACTCTCCACCTTTCATAATAGGTAAGACAATTAAAACCTGATTATCTGGTATTGATTTTGTACACAGAGAGGGTGTATTGTTGATGCCCAGATATGAATGTTTACAAGATTAGAGATAAGAGAAAGTGCAACAAAGTCACTGTGCCTGTTTTGTTGTGTAGTGGAGTGTCTGTAAATGTGAACGACCAGGCGCCATCATGTGCAGGAGCTCTGTATGGTGAGACAACACCATTTTTATTTTATTTTTTATTTATTGTATTTTATTTATTTATTTTAATTGTTTAAATTATTACTTTATTCATTATATTTTAATGCTACTTGATTGGATTGTAATTTGGTTTAATTTCACATTGTTATTATTTTTGTTGTTTTTAATGTAATTTTATCAATTTAAACATATTTTATTTATTGTTGTTTAATATTTTATTTTTAATTTATTTTACATTTATTTCATTTAAATTGACCTTATATTTGATTTTTGTTTTTTTACTTTAATTAATTCATTAATTTCACTTTTTATTTCACTTTTAAAACTTTACTTTATCATTTTATACCGTATAGTTTATACTTTATTATGGCCTATTCAGTAAAACACAATGTTTTCTTTTAAGTGTAAATGTCACTGTCATGTGATGTGTTTAAATATATTTTGATCTAAATTTCTCTCTCTCTTTCTTAAAGGGGTTATGAACACATGTGCAGCCTTTACTGGTGGGTTATAATCCGTTTATCCTTAATGTAACCAATTATCCGAGACTCGATACACTACCTGACAAAAGTTTTGTCGCTGATCCCAGTTGTAAGAGCAAAATATAATAACTTGACTTGTAGTTGATTTGGAAATGTGGCAGAAGGTAGATTTTTCAGATGAATCATCAGTTGAACTGCATCCCAATCATCACAAATATTGCAGAATACCTATTGGAACCCACATGGAGCCAAGATTCCCACAGAAATGAGTCTGAGTTTGGTGAAGGAAAATTCAGGTTTGGGGGTTACATTTAGTACAGAGGCATGCAAGTGATCTGCAGAGTGGAAGGCAACATCAACAGCCTGAGGTATCAAGACATTTGTGCTGCCCATTACATTGCAAACCACAAGAAAGGGCAAATTCTTCAGCAATATAGTGCTCCTTCTTATACTTTAGCTTCCACATCAAAGTTCTGGAAAGCAAAAAAGGTCAAGATGCACCAGGATTGGCCAGCCCAGTCACCATATATGAACATTATTGACCATGTCCGGGGTAAAATGGTGGAGGCATTGAAGATGAATCCAAATAATTTTGATAAGCTCTGGGAGTCCTGCAAGAACACTTTCTTTGCCATTTCAGATGACTTTATTAATAAGTTATATGAGTTATTGCAGAGATGTGTGGATGCAGTCATTCAAGCTCATGGGATTTATTCACAATATTAATTATTTTTCCACTGCAGCATGACTTTAATTTGATAACTGTACATTATTTCTGTTGAGAAGTGACAAGACTTTTGTCTAAGCAAAGTCAGACCTTACTGCCCTAATTAAATAATCAAAAGTCAAGACATGATCAAATTTTATTTTTATAAAATAAGCGTAATCTTATTTAATTATTAAAGCGTAATTCTGATACCAAATGATCAACTGGAATTCAAGATATTACTTGTTGTTCCTAAAACTGGGATAGGCGACAAGACTTTTTTTCAGGTAGTGTAGAGTCCATGGGACATTAATGTGCACTTATGCTAGAGAAACTGACATTTTACATATATATTTTTAAAAAGTCAGTATACAAGCTATACTTATAATATGAATAACAGAAAATGATCTGAAACCCAATTGATTCATTTTTAGTTTACAAAAATGTGAAATTATCATCACAGTTGCTTATAGGATGTAGTAATCTTCCTCATCTGGACTGTTAATTGCAGTAGCTGTTTATTATATGCTCATATCGTGCTGTGTTTGCACAGGTTTGCTGATGGTCTACATATCTGGCTATATGATAGAGGTCACTGGCTCCTGGGTGAATGTGTTTTCAGTGCTGGCTCTAGTGAATGTCATCGGTGTGGCAGTATTTATAACATTGGGTGAAGCGAAGAGAATTGATCAGCTGGATGAACCTGAGATCATCTGAACATCAAGAGGAAAGCAGCCAAACTCTCGGAGGCACACTTGGAGATTCCTTATTTGTCATTTGTAACAAATGGATTGATACTCCTGAACACTTTGAAATGCTATGTAATAATTTATTTTAGCATTAAATTAAGATTTATTTTATTTAATTAACAATTAGCTCTTATCATTAGCCCTCCTGTGAAATATGTATTCTCCTTTAAATATTTCTCAAGTGATATTTAATGGAGTAAGGCAATTTTCACAGTATTAATTGATTTATTTTGGCTGAATAGTAGTATCTTGAAAAGTAGCTAGTAAATGTATTGTCATCATGGCTAAAAGATCAAATAAATCAGTTATTAAAACTATAATGTTTAAAAATGGATAGAAAAACTCTGTTAAACGGAATTTGTGGAAAAATATTAAGGAGTTCACATTTAACAGGAGGGTTAATCATTCTGACTTTGATATGAAAGACTATGTACTGTATATGTTTACAGTCTATGAAAAACATCATGATATACACATACATGTGTTAATGAAAAATCATATTTGTTTCATTCTGTGAACTACTGACATTTCTTCCAAATTAACTATAAAAAGAAAAGAAAGTTCAAACATTATAAATATAAATTTTTAGACAACGGTATACTTAACATAAATGTACCTTCAGAAGAGTTGATGAATCAATATTCGGTGGAATAATTTAAATTCTCAAAAACAACAAATAAAAACACTTTTGTTTTTTTGTTTTTTACCAATAGTCATTTTCTAAAGACAAAAGCTCTAAATGACTTTGTTTTTTTGGTTTTTTTTTATCAGAAAGAAATGTCTTTAGACCTTTACAGATTTAAACAAATATTAACATTATACTCAAACTCAAGTACTTTTATTCTATGGCTGTATTTATATTTTGTTGTTAATGACACATAGTGTATATTTTTTATTTAAATGTACATTAAAATATTTGCCAGAGCTGGTTGCACTAATATTTATTTCAAATATAGAATTATGGGACATTCAACCAGAAACGCACATTTTCACTTCTAAAAATGTGACAGGGCCTGACCTTTAGCTTGTGGACCTCAAAAAAATCATACAATTCAATGATGCCACTTCTGAGTCATGGTGTATTGCACACATTTTATGTTACATTTAATGCAAATGTGACAGGATGGACCGAAACATGTACATTTATTTTTAATATATTCAGAGTATTTATATGTTTTAATTTATCAGAACAAATAAATAATTTATTACTGTTTTTTGATCAATTGATGGGATGGATAACAACTTAAACTTGCTGTTTCTGAAGTTTTCCTCTCTAAATAACAGTTTTTAGCATAACAAATCTATTAAAGCTGGGTTTGTAAAGTGTTTTAATAAAGAAAAAAAATCTGAGAACCAAATGAATGGCATATTTCTTTAACAGAACAACTCATAGAAATCAACCATCAGTCCGTTTTAGAAATGTTTGGGATGCAATAGGCTACTTTTATTTACTGTATTTATGTTTTTTTCAGAGACACATAATGTATATTTATAGTAGAATCCCTTATGTAGAATTTTAAGTATATGATATATGGTGTTATTTATACAATGAAAATCGTCTAGCTAAGAAGAGATTAGTATAATTAAACTGTCTTTCAGACTGATCAATGAATTTGTGCACTAATGACTCGATGTTATTTCTCCCCTCACCAGCAGATGGCGACAGAGGACAACGAAAACTGCGTGATTCATTGACGATCACAAAACATTATAGGATCAAACCACGCTAAATTCTAGTCAAACAACGTTTATTGATTCGTAAACACACATGATAATATATTTAATCAGGGTTACTGCTGTGATGTTTTCCTCAGTATCTAACCCTCATCTCCATCCAGTTGCTCAGGGGGTGATGCTCACGTCGTTGTGATGATGTCAGGAGTGGGCGTGGCCGAGTGAGATCTGCTGCATCTGGTACACTTACGTGATCGCGCGGTTCCCGGGGATGCAACCTCAAATTTAACATCGGTTTCGTTAACGCACTGACATTAGATCACGACGCCGGGGCCGACGAAACGGTAAGCTGTGCATGCGTCAAAACCACGTTACAGCCGCAGGAGAGGCGGATTTGTAGCCGCTCTCCTGATTTCTCACGGCTCGTGAATATTGGTCTGTAACGTTAACGGGAGCGAACAGGCCACAGAATATGGATGCTGGAGCGCAGAGCAAACCTGAGCACCCGGGCCCTTCCCGTGATGCAGAAACGAAGAAAGTCAGAGATTAGCTGGAAATCCGTGCAGTTTGTTGGTGAATTATATCACAGACCGTCATCTGTTAACACTGGAGATGACAGTCGGCATTTTGTAGAGCAGAAAAAAACAGGGTCTCACTGGCGTTTGTTGCTTAGATTCATTTCAGCAGATCGCCACTCCTCAGCCTCATATTAATGAAGAAATCATGTGTGTTTTTTGTTTTTTTCATGGTGACGGTGTATTTTGCATAGTTTTGTCTTGAGGCGGACACAGTGCGACATTTGTTAAAAACCGAGCGCTCTTTCATGCAGACCGAATAGCGCAGTTGAGGATCTGTAAACAGTAGGGATGGGAATCACGAGAAATTCAACGAGAAATTTCGATTTCACGTTCATTAACCCTATTAGCCTTTATTTTGAGGAAGAAATAACAGAAGCAAAACTGTTGTCGTTTGATAAAATAGTTTTTACAGAATCAAAGCCTTTTGCTGTCGTAAACAAAGCAGGCAGTTTTTCGTATGTATTTATAGACGCTGTAAATGCAGGCAATTGTCCCTTACAAATGTAATACATAACATGTATAAGTCATTGATTTTTTTTTCCACCATCTTCAGATGTTTTATGAACCTTGCCAATGTTAAATCTGATATGTGGTTATTCATAAAGATGTAGGCTATACAAAATTATAGATCCTTTATTTGACCATATATGTATGTGTTTGTAATCCTAATGGTTAAACATATGCAAACGGTCATTAATGCAATATTTCATATATTTATATATCTGTGAAATCCAAAAATGAACTCTTATGTTGTATATAAGATTTGTGAATTGTTAAGTGCAAAATCACACTCAGTTTTTTCCAGTGAGACATGATGAAGGGGCCGGCCTTGGCCATTGATTGCCAGTGTGTATTAGCCATGGGCCAGTATAATATTTTGATGGTTTGATAACCTTGGATTAAAATATAATGGCATCACGGTGTTGTGATTACTGGTCCAAAATAAATTATTCTTAAATGTCTGGGTAAAAACAATAACCTTTTTCCCCACTGAACAATATATTTTATTTTAGGAAACATTTAAAATATTTCGGACCAGTAGCTTATGATTTAGAGGTTCCTTTTTTGCTGGAGATACTGTTACCCTAAAAATAACAAATAAAATAGTAGTGAAAAACATGTAAAATTCTTTACACGTACCTTAGGAACAGTTCAATAGAAAACTTTGGTGGTTTTAAAATCTTGACTTTTCCAAACCACGGTAAACCTTGATACCGGTGATCATCCCATGCCTAGTGTGAAGTCCAAATACTTTGGCATCAATCTGAAGATTTGGCTAAAGATTTTTAGGAATCATTCAAAGTACTGGCTCAAAAGGTTTGTTTGTTCAGGAATCACGTTACTGTTTTGAATCAACTCTAAAAGAGAATCCACACTTTCATGAGCTGCTATCAAAATTATTTGGTTGTGTACAAACTATTGTGAGCTCTCCTTGTGGACCACTTTCAGGGATCAGTGATGCTGAATGCTGACAGCCCTGTTTTTTCAGCTCCTGAATCCTCTTAAAGTGTCTGGAAAATGTACAGGCTTAAACTTTTACACCATAACACCAGTTTTATTTATAATTATTATATCATATTTAAAGCTTAGTTTGCTTAAAAAATAATTAATATTTATTCACCTCAGTATGTGTTTCTTTATCTGTTGAAAAAAAAAAGAAGAAATTTTCAAAAATGTTAGAAACCGGTAACCATTGACTTTTATAGAAGAAAAAAACACTGGAAGTCAATAGTTAAATTTTTCTAAATAACATATTTCCTGTTCAACAGAAATAAAAGTCAAACAGGTTCAAATGGGTTAAGTGAAGGTTGCATAAATGACAGAACTTTCAGTTTTTGGGAGGCCTGTCTTTTTAAATGTTTTTTGTTTTTTATATAAAAAATCAATTTACAGGTGATTTTAGATTTTTTTCTAATGAGTTAAATCAATTGACTTTATTGGAGGCACTGCTGGTTTGAAAAAGTTGCCCTCAAAATGACTGAACCTATTGGTGACAGTAGGATAACACCTTAAATTTACCTGCCCTTAAAACCAAGTTCAAGTGGGTTGGAGAATCTTATGTTTTGCTTGTTAGACATGAACACCTGGTTGTATTTGAAATGTCTAGATTTTAATGAGAGTAAAACTGTAATAATTGTGCTCGGCTCATCAAATTCTTCTAGGGCACCAACAGTTAATCTTAGTAAATCAAGCTTTTCTGTGAAGCCTTGGGTAAAAAATCTGGGTGTTATCTTTGATGAAGGCTTGAGATTTGATAAACAGATAAGTGCAGTGGTCAAATCCTGCTTTTTTCAGCTTTAACTCACAGTCAAACCTATTCTGTCTGGACAAAAATTGAAAAAAATAATTTATGCTTTTATTACTTCTAGGTTGGACTACTGTAATCACTATATTTTGGGATTAGTCAGACAAATATCCCCATTACATTTAGTACAAAATGCTGCTGCAATCCTTTTAACCGGTACCATAAACTTACACTCTTTGCGCTGGTTGCATATCACTTTTGCATTCTTCCCCTGGTTTTTAAATTACTAAATGGCTTGGCACTTTCTTATCTGTCAGACTTGTTGGCTGAACATCAACCTGGTTGGTCTCTCCAGTCATCAAATCAGAGATTTTTATGCACTTGAGCCGAGGCTGAAATGCAAGGCTGATCGTGGTTTTCCTGTAGCTGGTCCTAGATTGTGGATCGCTCTGCTCCTCTGTATTAGGTCTATATAATCTCTGTCTGTTTTTAAATATAGGTTGAAAACTTGGCTGTAATTTTATATCTTTTTCTTGTGATTCGTATTGTGCAGCACATTGGTCAACCTTTGGTTGTGTTTACTAGTGCTATATAAATAAAATTGGCATTGGTGTCGGATCATAATGCTGCTTTACAAGTAATTCATACCCAATTAGTTTGTCAATTTCATATGTTCTATTTTCAGATGTCAGGAAAATAATGTAATGTTTTGGAGTGACATAGTATAAAGGTATCCGTGTGGTCTTAAAAACAAAATCCTAAAATGTCCTAAGTTTTAAAATCAAAATTTGAGGCCCTAAAAATTCTTAAATTCACTGAAATCTTCTTATCTTTTGAAATCTTTAAATAGGTCTTATGGTCCTATGTCTATGTAAAGCTATCCAATTGGGCCAACACCGATCCAATCACTATCATTTCATCTTAATAAAAGTTTATTTATTATATCTTATTTAATAACTCTATTTACCAACTCATATTTTTATTTATATACATATGGTTTAATTATCTTGCTTACAATAGCATTAGTTTTTTAATGTTTTAACTGACACATTAGGAAAAAATCCTTAGTGTTTAGCCTTGTGTAAATGTGAAATTTCATTGATGAAATCTGCAGAAACCCTGTATAACAAGGATGTCTATGGAAAGACCCCTTTTTAGTCTGCCACATTTTTTATTTTAGATGAAATAATTGTCATCAATAGTTTACAGAATAAAACAAAATGACATTTTACTCGAACTCGAATATTTTACTGTGTTAAACTATGTTTATCGTGTGTTAAATATTTTAAAATGCAGAGAAGCTGAACAATTTCAAGTGGTCTTTTAATTTTATTAATAGTATATGTTATACCTACTCTTCAGAAACTAGTAGTATACAAAATACTTGTAGTATTTGCTCTTTGATTTCGAACTTATCTGAGGCATCTGCTCCCTAATGGCTTCTTTTGAGCCACTTAATAGTTTGTCTGAATTATCAGGGTTCAACAGTGCTGAGTAAACTATCTTATATGCTCCAGTCAGCTGACGAAAGCTCTGGAGATTGATTTGACACAAACCCAGGCCTTTCCAGACATGAGACAAGCGCATAGAGAGACAGTTTTACACTTGCTCCGTTCTCCCACTGACATGAAACAGTGCCAGACCTTTTATTGTGTGCTTGAATATTAAAGTGAAATACACCATATTACCGTTGTAATCTAACAGTCTTCACATAACAATATGGATTTGACTGATGTGCATGCAGAGCAACACTAGTGAAATGTGTCATCGCACTGCTAGGCTGTGAATATGGCATCTGCTGGAAACTGAACCCTTTGATATCCTGTGGTATTGATTTCTCTTTCTGGGGGACTAACACAAGAAAAATCAGCTGACAGGAAAAGCGTGAGTCAGCCGATGAATCATGAATAATCCCTGATGATCACTAGAGCTGCTAGTTATGTCATCAGTACAGTAGTAAACTGTATTAGTGTGTAATAATCACGCAACCTGTCATTAGAAATGTCTCTGCTATGACAGATTCAGACAAAAAAGCCAGCAGCAAGATGCTCGTTGTTCTAAACCTGTATGTTATCTTTAAAAGATCCAGTGACTCTGTTTTGCCTCTTAAGCCAAGCTATTGATTTGAAATCCATTTAATTTGCTAATTATCTTGAGTGGTTTAAACCACAAACTATGATCTGTAGAATATCGGACACGGTTTCTCTGCAGGTTGTTCATTTGATGAGGCAGGTTTTGTGGGTTTAGTGGCAAGTTTATAATCTGTATATAATTGGCAACTTCCAGGCTTTCTAAAGAGTTGTGGAAATGAGATTATTTTGATTGTTTTTTGCAGCAATCATTGATATAAATAGCAATTTTTCTTTTAATTTTCTTATGTTTACAATTCTCTTATGTTTACAATTCTCTTATGTTTACAATTTTGGGAACTTTGAAGTAAACTCTCACTCCAGAATGTCTGGTCTTTTTGAGAAGAGTCCAACTATGTGACATCAAAAATCCATTTTCATTATTAGTTTTTCAGTCCCAGAGTAAATGAAGCGTGCCAGTTTAACTATGGATGTGCCAGTGTGCGTATATTACTGAGATTTAACCAAAGCAGAACAGCTTTCAGGACATGCACCATGGGCATTGCTAGGCCTGTTTTAGGGAAGCTGTAGCCCCCCCTATATGTCTACTCAGCCCCCCTAAAACTTTGTGATTAGCTCACAAACTGTGCAGTAAATGATTGCTTTTTGATAAGAAAATGGCAGCAGAATTCGGCTTCTCCCCAGCTTTTGTTTTTCATTTGATCAGCAAACCACAGCCGTGGACAGCGCGAGAATTTATTAATGACTTGTTATAATATCTGCTTATTAATTTGCAGTAATTGCAATTTTGAACGTTTCGCTATTTTTATTTCATAATGAACTGCCAATATTAAACACTTTACAATTCGTGTGGCATTAACTATACCATACAGTCTTGCACAGAAAAGATTAAATAGTGACAGAACCACTTAGAGAATGTACTCGTTTTAACAATGTCTGACAGAGATAGAAACATCAAGTGTTGTCTAGTATTAAAAAAAATGTATATGTGTTTTGTTATTCAGATCATAAAATATGTGAATTAGCCTGTAAGTTTAAATATATATATGTGTGTGTGTGTGTGTGTGTGTGTGTGTGTGTGTGTGTGTGTGTGTGTGTGTGTGTGTGTGTGTGTGTGTGTGTCAATTTATAAAAAGAATGGCCATTTATTTATTTAAACATGCACTTGAATACAGAAAGTGGTTTTTACTAAAGTAAACAGGTGGGTTGAGCCTATTTGGCTTACTCTGAACTCAAACGGCTATGCCTTTCTATGTAATACAGTGGAATACTAGTATACAACCAATATTAAACAAATATTTTTTAAGTGAATTACTACTAAATTGCTACTTATAAATGTAATACTAGGCTTTATATATATATATATATATATATATATATATATATATATATATATATATATATATATATATATATATATATATAAAGCCTAGTACATATATATCAAATTTTACCTTATAAGGAGCCGAGGCCCCCTAAAATAAGAATCCTAAAATCGCCGCTGACATGTACTATAGGGGCAGGGGAGGATTTGTCTTTTGATTTCAGCTAGATCACAGATTGACCAAGCTACATGAAACGTATTGCGTTCCACATTGAATGATAAATTACTCACCCTGTAGGTTATACTCATCCCCATGTTAAAGACAGAGTGTAAAGTCAGATCAAGTGAGATAAGCAAAGCAAATATGATGATGATAGATTATTTATGATTTATGCTGGTGGTTATGATGAAGGTCAGTGTCCTTTATTGTAGATATTCCGTTATGCAGTTTCCTAAAGGCTGATTTATACTTTAGTGTCGCGTGATGGGCGTATCCCATGGCACCTGCCTTGCGCATAGTGGTGCATTTATACTACTGCGTGCTGTTTGTGTTGCTCTGCAATAACATTTCCAAAACCCTAACCGGCAGTAGGTTTTTATGTTGCTCTGTGTCGAGTTTCCTTGCAAGTGTTTTGTTTTGTCTGAAAGCTACATGTAGCTAAAGCTCGCTCATTCAGAGGCGAGAACCGGCGGAGGTACAACAACTTTAATCATAAGGTAAACATAAGACAAAAGTTTCCATCTGGAGCTCTTTTACGGGACTTGACACTTGTAAACACTTGCTCCATTCGGCTCGCAGCTCTCAGCAACTCCTATGCTTGTCAGCGCTACCAAGCTGACCAATCACACAGCTTGCGCTTTGTGTTGTTGCAACATGTAGTTACATCTTTTTTTGACGAGTGCACGTCAGAATCACCCACACCGAGGGCTATGAGACTGCGCAAAGGCTGCGCTGCACCATATGCTTGCGATTGATGCCGAAGTATAAATCAGCCTTAAGGGTGTATGTTCACCGAAATGTTTTTGTGATGTACCTTTACAAGTTTATTTACAGACTGATTTATTGACTGTTGCCGATGTATTGTCCCGCCTCTCCTCCACTGTGATTGTACAGCTATATCAAAAGTGATACTAATGAGCGCTACATATTTCGAAGGCATGTAGATCATCAATGCTTGCTCAGCACCTTCCTGCACTGCAGGCACTCAAAAAGCTTGGTGATACCATTGACAACAACAGAAAACAAACTCTCAGCTCTAAAAAAAAAAAAATGCACAAAAGCAACAATCTCATATTGGTGCTCAGCCAAAAAACAGTATATTATAACATATATAAATTATACAATATAATATAAATGAAACAATATAAAGGCTCCAGAAGTATCAAATTTATATACTAAATGGCTATCACATAGCATGTGACATTTCGAGCACACCAGCTCTTCATCAGACATTTATTTGAACTCATTGTCTGATCACTTTATTAGCTTTTTTTCTATTATGAAGTTCCCTTCAGTTATTATGCTTTGTATTTGAAATAAGGTCATATTGTGCCTCATTTGAAGATGTCTGTGAAGTTTAAGCTCAAAACACTCAACAGAAGGGCTTAGGGTTGTCACAATATACGGTACCAATCAGTGCTGAAATTTTAAAACGTCCATTTTCTACGAACATTTAAGCGCTATTGAGCACGTTCTTAAACAAAGCTGATTTGCCACTGTGTTCATGTGCTCAACAAAAATGACTGAACTCACCGCTGTTTACAGTGTAACTACAGATACAGGGACACTGGAGTGTTTCAAAGTCCCGTCGATTAGCTGGTTTGTCTATAAGCTGACATAAGAGCGATCCACTGATGAATTGCGGCTTTAAAATGCTTTAATGTCCCTGTATCTGTGGTTATTCTCTGTAAACAGCATTGAGTTCGGTGTACTAATGACCTTCTTGATCAATTACAGTCATTTCTGTTAAAGCTCATGAACAGTACTCAAATGTTTGCGGGAAATGGACATTTTTAAATTTTCAGTATCAATTTCAGTATCAGTTGGTACAAAAGGGCTTTAATATGCTATTCTGACAGAAACAATAAAAAAAGTGAATCTCTCACAGAATGAAAATCTGAAATGACCAAGTGAAACAGTCCAGCATAAAATATATTTTGCCTGAATAGATAACACTTAACCAACATTGTTGAGCATATTTTGTTCAAAAATTAAATTCAAGCACAGTGTTGGGAGATGGACCCACTTATAGCACTTAAATGTGGAAAAAGTCAGATTTGAATAATGTGATTGAAGAATATGATGTTTTTGTGAATAGTTTTGCTCTCGTGATCTAGCATGACTTGTGTTTGTATGTGTTTAGATTGTCGAGGATTGGCCTGATTCACCATGGCTGAGCAGCAGAGGCAGCGCAGTCTCTCCACGTCCGGAGAATCTCTCTATCATGTGCTGGGGGTCGATAAAGTGGCCACCGTCGATGACATCAAGAAGTCATACCGGTGAGTTCCAGGGGCTCCGCCTCGTCCTCAGCATCCTGTTTTGGTTCATTTCTCTTACTTCTTTTACTGGCTGTGTTTTTTACCAGATGTTTATCAGCTAAATGCAGCACAGCAATGTGGAGCCCCGCAGCTCAATAAAACTTAAGTGCGTTCAGGGACCACTTACCATGTACAGTTTTAGCTACTCTAAGACCACATAAAAAATTGGATCTTGTTGTGTAGCTTTTTTTAAAAGAGATATTACGGTTTGAGGGTTTTATTACAATAACATAGTATAGAAACATCACAGCATTGCTTTCATTGTATCATGAATCAAAGATATTTAGTTGTTCTTCATGAAAACTTTAAAAAAGCCATTTAATTGTTATAAATACGACTGTCTAGAACAAAAATAGTGTTACACTATATTTGTATATGTTATCACTTGTGTAATTTTGTAAAATAACAGTTGTGTTGTCATTTATTGGGCAAGCAACAAACTTTAAACAACTAAAAATTAGTTTTAATGCTAGTTTACACCCACATTTTTATTCCATTCATTTTTATATTCTACTTCTTAATAACAGTAATTGTGCATCTGACAAAGATTGGTGGTGTAATAAATGTATTTGTAGTCAAATAAGTTTAAACACAATATATATTAATTAACTAATGAAGTCATTCACGTTTATTTTATTTATCTGTTGTGACCAGAAAAAAAGGTCCTATACACTGCATTGAAATGTGATACAAATACCAAAATCTGGAATTTAATGCAAACCATGTTGCATCTTTTAAAGGAAACTGGCATTGAAGTATCACCCTGACAAGAACCCTGACAACCCCGAGGCGGCTGATAAGTTTAAAGAGATAAACAATGCTCATGCCATCCTCAACGACCCGACAAAGAGAAACATCTATGACAAGTACGGCTCGCTGGGACTTTATGTGGCTGAACAGTTTGGAGAAGAGAACGTCAACACTTACTTCGTTCTGTCCAGCTGGTGGGCCAAGGTATGACTGCATTTATAAAGTTAATAGGGTTCATTTATGTGTGTGTTTGTTCAGTGGAAAAACTTCAACAGGAAAAGATATTCAGAAAGATTTTTCAACAGCCGTTACTTCAATCTTAAGTAAATTCTAAAATGCTGATTTTTTTTCCCTAACAAACATTTTTAGTGTGATAATTTTTGAGAGTCTTGTATTGTACATTTTCAGAAGTCTTTAATGCACTGAAAGCTCAAAATAATAAAACAGCAAATATTTTTAAATATAAATTCTTTTAACCATACTTCACCAGTAGATTGATTGGACTGAGTATTGCAAACCCTATTTCTATTACAAGATTTCTAAAATGCAAATTAGGCATTATTTATGTTAATATGTGGTAATTTGCATACATTTCTAGTACATAACTTGAACACTGAATAAAGTCAGGGTTTGTCTTATTATTAACATATTATTTTTACAGTGATTTAGGATTTCATTTTTATTGTTTTATTTATAATTCAGAAAGTTTCATGAAAAATATTATTTTTCAAACTATGTATGAACATATATGTCTGAAAAACCCCAAAGAAAACCAAAAAACTGCAAAAATACAGCAAATACGCTACCTGACAGAAGTCTTGTCGTTGATCCCAGTTGTAATGCCCCATTCACACGGGGTGCAAGCGTCAATGCTTTCCATTTACTTTGAATAAGTGATGCGACGTCAGGCGTTGCCGAACTGCATTATGGATCCGTCTGCGTTGCTTCAGTGGCGTTGCTCGCTGCAGAAATTGGGAATTTCTCAGAAGCATCGTCAATCAGATCGCTTTATGCAAATACAACAGCTTAGACAGTAACTGATTGAAGACTAATTTTATTAGCTGACGCTGCTATGACGATCTCATCAGCCCCAACTTCAGATACGTCCTCTGTCAAGCATTGATGCTGAAGCCCCGTGTGAATTGGGCATAAGATCAACAAATAATAACTTATTTGGAAAAGTGGCTGATTTTTCAGATAAATCATCTGTTGAACTGCATCCAATCATCACAAATACCACAGGAGACCTATTGGAACCCGCATGGACCCAAGATTCTCATAGTAATCTGTCAAGTTTGGTGAAGGAAAAATCATGGTTTGGGGTTACATTTAATATGGGGGCCTGTGAGGGATCTGCAGAGTGGATGGCAACATCAACATCCTGAGGTGTCAAGACTTGTATTACCAATTACATTACAAACCACAAGAGAGGGCAAATTCTTTAGCAGGATAGCTCTCATTCTCATACTTCAGCCTGTTGTCTGGGGTAAGATGAAGGGGACGGCATGAAGATGAGTCCAAATAATCTTGATGAACTCTGGGAGTCCTGCAAGAACGCCTTCTTTGCCATTCTAGATGACTTTATTAATAAGTTATTTGAGTCATTGCAGAGATGTTTGAATGCAGTCCTCAAAGCTCATGGGAGTAAAACACAATATTAATTCTTTTTCCACTGCACCATGACTTTATATTCTATAATGTACATTATTTCGGTTAAGTGACAAAGACTTTTGTCTAAGCAAAGTCAGACCTTACTGTCCTTATCAAATAATTAAAAATCAAGGTATGATCAAATTTTATTTAGGTAAAATAAGCATAATTTAGAGGCCTTTGCATTTCATATGAGCCACTTTTGATACCAAATGATTCAAGTAGAAGTCAAGTCATAATTTGTTGTTCCTAAAACTTGGACCAGTTACAAGATTTTTGTCAGATAGAGTGTATATGGAAAAAAATTCAAAGTCAACAAAAGTGCATGAAAAATCAGTGTTTATTCCTGCAGTGTCTCAGCTTTCCATTATAAACATCTCTAAAAATCAATTCAGTACATCCTTGCTGAATAAAAGCATACATTTTCCCAGAAAAGAAATGAACACCTTTGAATAATAATATTGTTGTGTTGCTCTCTGTCTCCCCCTGCAGGCTCTGTTTATTTTCTGCGGTCTGGCTACAGGCTGCTACTTCTGCTGTTGCCTCTGCTGCTGCTGTAACTGCTGCTGTGGGAAGTGTAAACCACGGCCACCCGATAGACCGGACCCAGAGTTTTACGTCTCCCCTGAAGACCTAGAGGCCCAACTGCAGTCTGATGAGAGAGGTTAGATGTGCTCACGTGTGTATACATACATATATATGATGGCTTCTAGAGATAACTTCAGAGCTCAAAACAGGATTCTTATTGTTAATAATTAATTTCACTATGGAGCAAATGAATGGAGTTTTGTCTTTCAGAACTAGGGCTGAACAATATATCGTTTGAGCATTGATATATGTAACCCCACCGGTCCTACCCCACCCAACCCGCTCTGAGCTGGGATCGAACCGGCGACCTTCCACATGGAAGTCGGTTGCTCTAACAAGGAGGCTAAAGACCATGGCCTCCAGCTAGGGCTGGGCGATTCAGCAAAAAAAAAAAAGTCGAGTTTTTTTTATAAAGTTTGACCGATTCACGATTTCGTTTTTTTTTTTTTTTTTAGTGTGTTACTAGTCTTCTCAAAACATTACAACATGACTGAAGTAACATTCTCTTTAAAAGTAACTTTAAAAACCATCTGGTTAAGGAACATTGTATTTTTAATGGCCATGTCATACAAAAATTGGTCAAGGTGTAAATGAATGTAAAACAAATTCACGAGTCAAATAGCGTTGCTGAAGATTTGAATATAAAATATTTGTGTAAATATTGCACTTGCAGTAATACAGAGGTATTTTTACAAGTTTTGCTAAGCCTAGGAAAGATTGGCTGTCAGCTCGGCTTTGACTTTGTCTTCTGATTGAATGACAGGTTGTAATGCTGCTGCCTTTTTCTTAAAAAGATACAGTTTAGGAAAAAGGACTGAACATGGAAACTGTAAAGCCTAATTTAACCCAATGTGTGAAGTTGTGGACGTATAGCAGGAGCGAATACAAGCACCAGATGTGTGTCTAATATAAAATAATATATTTAATCTATTTTTCCTTTCCCTCCTTTTAAATACCGATCATTTGATGCGCTTTGCTCCACTCTCTGTATTATGCTGCCTGATCTGTCTGGTTTTCAACTAGGTCCGCTAAATGACGTCATGGGGGCGGGTACTTTCATTTTCACTGCTACAGTCCCTCACCTCTACTCTTGTTCAAACCAAAAGATCAGCGCGGTTTTTCACATGGCAGGCTTTTACGTCCTTCATACATGTTGAGATCGAGTTTATCGACTTGATGAGGGAATGTCTTGACAATCCACACAGACGTGCAACAAGTAAAATCCTACACGCTTTAACAGGCAGTCAAGCAGGTCGCCCACCAGAAGCGCTGCGACACGGCGCGGACATGACAGTTTAAACTATCACACACCAAACGTGCACATTCGCATGATATTTAACATGAAACTAATCAGATGGCGCTCTGTGGGCCGGCTGAAATGAGAACTGATTCGTGAATCGTGGCTGGGCGGCGCCAATGTGTATATAGAAACCTGTTTAGAATTCTAAAATCCATGGCGTGGTGCTGTGTGGGGCGTCGCCGAGAGGCGCTTTTGGTGTGCTTCCTGCTTCATTTAGAGAGTGAACCAAAGCGCATTGCTGCCATTATAATGTATTAAATATATATATTTTTAAAAATCGCGATTTCTCGATTTGATTCAAAATTAAATCGTCTTAACGTGAATTCGAATTAATCGAAAAAATCGCCCAGCCCTACCTCCAGCATCTGTCGCTAGAGCACCTTTAGGGGTCAGGGGAGTGAGGTTTACCTGCACAGCACTTACTAGCTGGCCTCCGTTACATATGCAATGTGTGAATCCCCAATAAACACATCGCAGAATTAAATTATTTACAATATACAATAATTTATACAACAACGACCACATTATTTTATGTTGGATTCTTCAATTTTTATATTTGAATACTGTTAGGCCAGAAAACCATAATGCATCGTTTATTTAAACCTTTTTTGCCCTGTCATATTTACATATACTTAATTTATTCAATTTTATGCAGATGTAAGGTATAGAAAAGACTCGATCCCCTAGTCGATCTAAATTAACGATATCAATGAAGTCATCTGGTGAAATTATATTGATTTCGCAATATACATCGCAGCAAAACAAAACATTGCAATGTCAGACTTTTCCAATTTCATTCAGCCCTATTCTGAACCCAAGAGTTGTGTTGTGTTGTCCTTCATATTCTGCTTTAACCATTGCTTTTCTCTTGAAATCTTTTTGCAGAGACAGTCGGTGGTGAACCTATTGTGTTGCAGCCTTCTTCTGCCACAGAAACCACCCAGCTAACGTCTGACGGGTACCATACTACCTACCACACCGATACCGGCTTCAACTAAAACAGCCATTCTCTTAGCCTCCACCACGTGGTTTGTCTAGCGCCATCCCTCCAATGGGAAAAATGAATGAAAAGAATCCTTCAACTACAACTAAAAAAAAAAGCCTGTTTTTAGAGGAGGAAAGCCAGCGATGGAGCTGAATTGTTTAGCGTATCCTGTCCCTTATTCACACAACCACTTCCATCACCCACGCAAGATCCGCCTCACAGTACCGTAGCTTAAAAAAAAAGCTTAAGAAAAAAAAGTAAAAAAAAAAAAAGATCTTGTCGTTTACCCTGATCTCTTTGTTGCCTTTGACCTCCGATCTTGCCTTCCACTCGTTCCCTCGCTCCTCCAGCCAGATTTGCTCGTCGTCCTGTGGCATGCACTGTTCCTTGACTTTGAGAAATTTCCCCACCGTTTTTGGTATATTTATTGACATGAGATGTTCGTTCCCGGTTCTAAGTGCTTGAGTGTGGTTTAAAGTCGACTCCGTGAACTTGCCATAGGTGTTCGAAGACTAGTGTGGCTGCTCTGAGAAGCAGCAGGAATTGTTTTCATTTATAAAATGGACTTTTTGTTTGTTTACCCATTCAATCCTCCTGGTTTACTGCGAAGTTTGTGTCCCTGTAATGCCATTTTATCTCCTATGTGTCATAAATTTGAGAGTTAACAGCGATATTTAAAGTTTTCTGGCCTCGCTTTGTTCATGTTGTTTCATTGCAGCTTTTTTTTCTGAGAGAGAGAAAGATACAATCAGTGCGACTAATTACATGCCATTCATTTGTAGTATTCTGCTCATTGTACATTCGTTTTTTGTGTTGTTTTGGGGACGATAACCTGAGCCAAAAGTAGGAGTTTTCTCTGTGTGTGGAATGATTTGAGCCGTCATCTCTGTGTAATGTGTAGATTGTTCGTTGGCGTGTGATAACATGTTTGGACACTCAGCTTTGGTCTTAATGTTAAACTCAGTTTGGCCCAGTTGTGTCTCTTTTCTCTCATCGCAAAGGGAATCGCAAACTGATATAAACGCCCATATCTTGAGTGTGTACGTGAGCTGAAAACTTAAGCTAATTTTTTATATAGATCTACAATCAACACATCACATCTATGTACAATATATGTATATTTTGGGCATTTTTTTATATTTTAGTTTTTGGTGCGTGTCCTTTATTCTTTGTGACTGTGGTTCTGGCCTGTTGTGGGCACTTGAGATTCTCTATGCCAAGATGTACTGTCTATTGTGTGAGAAATGCCTGTTTTTAGTCATTAATTATTGAGCAGTAACCGTTTATTTATTGCAGTGGCAATTTATTTTAACTCTACAAGCATCCAGATTACACAAGTTCAGTCTTTCAAGGCCATGCTAAATATTAGTCTTGATGCTAGTTTATACCCATATTTTTATACTAATGATTTGAGCCTATCAGAAATCAGAAATTATTCATTCTGAACATTAAACAGTTTTTTTTTTTTTTTTTTTAACTCATTAATGACCAAGTAAATAACTGCAATTGGGCACCTGGCAAAGATTGGTGGTGTAATAAATTTGTTGGGGATCTAATAAATGTAAACACTTGTAGAGTGTAGAGACCACTTTTAAATTCTGTTTTTCTGGAGATGCTGGATTTGCTAGAAATGTGTTTGAATTAAGTGCAACACATTGTTGTGTTGTCTAAAATGAACACTCAAAAACTGATGTTTGCTGATTCAAACTACTTATTAAAAATGAGCTGAAACAACACACGTCTTGAGGATATTTGGGGAAAACTACATTATTTCATGTTCAACCCAGGTTAACTCAAGTTAACTTAATTGCTTGATGTTTTCCCAACGCAAATGAATCGTGTGAAATCCAGCACATTTTCATTGATTTTAAACATGTCTGTAAACCTGGTGAGTTCTTTTCTTATTTTGACACAGCTGTCATTTATGCTCTGAATGACAACATTGTAACTTTGAACTTAGAAGAAATGCCATTAAAAACGTTTTGCTTAACAATTTGACTATAAATCATGACTATATGATAGCTATGAATAAAAATAATAAGAAATTACTATAAATTGAAAATTCAAAAAATTGGATTTTGTCCATAAATTAATGACTAATAATTAAAATGACTACAGTGACTGTAAATTAAACTATAAATAAAAAAAATCCAATGTCTATAAATTAAAATGGCTATAAATTTAAAATCCCCAAAATAAATTTTGACTAAATTATTGACTATTAATTAAAAATATTATAAATTAAAAATCCAATGACTAGAAATTACTTAACTATAAATTATGTATTTATACTATAAATTGATTATAAATTAAAAATCATGTATATGTCTATAAATTACAATGACTAATAAATTAAAAATCCAAAGAAACTGAGAATTGCAGAGTGGTCTGTACATTGTTTCCAAAGCTGTATAATCTAAGCTTGTTTGTATGACATTGCAATACATATTCAGAAAAGTTATGAAAATTAGTTGTCTTTTGACAGTTTTATTAAAACAAGTAAAAAGTCATTTAGCCTGGTAAAAAAAAATTGTAATGATAATGTTTTTTCTTGCAATTACTGTATAAGGATGTTAAAATATATAAGTCAAATATGGTTTAAAAGAAGGCATGGGCTGAAGTCATCTTCTGATTCTGGCGGTATAATAACCTAAATGAAAATATGACATTTTTACAGTATTGTAATCATTGCTCTAAAATATATTCATTTTAAATGTCTGGGTAAAATACAAGAACTTTTCCCCCCTTTGAACACAAAATATTTTATTTTGTGAAACTTTTCAAATATTTTGGAGCAGTAAACATGTCAGGCTGAATAATTCAAATGAATCATTGACTTTTGCTGTCTACATTCCTTTTGAAAACACTGATTTCTTTACAATTAAAGCAACATCTTTGGAGATCTTTTCTGCTGGAAATAATGTTGTCCTAAAAAAACAAAAAAGTAAATAAAATATCTTACACATACCTTAGAAACGACATAGCACAAAATTTTGGTTTTAAAACCTTGACTTTTCCAAATCGTGGTATACCTTGAAAACGGTTATTGCCTATTTAAAAGTAATGCACAATGTTTGCTCTTTTTGAGGGCAGAGTTTAAAAAGAAGTAAATGCAACTCCCTTGGTAGTTGCATTACCCTTATTTTCACTGAGCAGATTGAACGAAGTTGCAATCTTGGATGATATAATTGAGCAGCTATGGATTGATGCTACTTAACACTTTAATCGATTCTCCTTTATCTCAGAGGTGGCATTATCCATCAAAATATTCAACTATTTAAATCAATCATCAAGCTGTTTGTGTGTCATATAGCCTAATAATGTGGTCCTGATCATCGTGATTGTTTTTGCTTATAATTTTTTATGCTTTTAGTTTTCAGCGAATTTGACAGCGTACTGAGTACAGGCGGTCCTTTCCCTTTTCAAGTATGTCCGAAAGTGCTTTAATAACCTTCTTATACCAAACCTGATTTTCTGAATCTGCAATTGCAAACAACCTGATGACCATCAATACCATGTTAACTCATTTACTCCAACGTGTCTCAATGCTTTCTTACATGGGCATTTCTGAATTGTGTTTTTTTTATCTGTCTGCCATTTTTCCTTCTCGGCTCAATCTGAAGCTTAATACAAATGTCACCAGCCATGTTCATTCACATTTTCTAGATACTCTTCAAATGCCAATGATTTTTCATTGAACTGTTTACATTTCATTATTATTGAGTACAATGGTATCTTGGGTCACTATCTGCTCGCTTTCTTCTCTCTCTTTCTCTCTCTGTCTTTCTCATTCCCTTGTTCCAATGCTCTAGATGGTTTTTAATGGATGTTAGCCTCTGTGGTCTTTTTTTTTTCCTGTGCATTTATCTGTATCAGAACTACACTTGTATAAAGAGTATGGCTTATTCGATGATATTTTAAGTTGGATGAATCTTTAAAAAAATAAATAAATAAAATAAATCCGTGGAGTAAAAATGATCAGGAAAATGTTGCATATTATGTCTTCAGAAAGAAGAGAAGATGTTTAGTGTAATTATAGTGAAATGGTAATTTTATGCATTTTTTTATTTTATTTATGACCTTATTTTGTCATGTTTATAAACAATTGTCCTTGTTTCAAATGGTATGTTACATGAGTTTGACTCTGAAACTATGCTACTCATGGTTCTATAGTGAAGGTCTCTTGTACATACACTGAATTATTAAAAAGAATAATACTGGACCTTTATGTTGTAGCATGGTTATTGTATTAATAAAAGAGAAAACATTTATTTGCTGGTGTAAAATAAATGTTTATGAACATTTGTTGTGGCTGAGAGTAATCTTCTTAAAGGGGGCCTATTATGCTAAAATCAATTTTGTAAGGGGTTTAAACATGTTCGTGTGGCAACCGTCTGTGAACAAAGCAGCTTCTAATAGTAAACATTTATTCATTTTATTTCTCATAATTACACTTCATAAAAACTGCAGAAACACTTTCATTGACATTCTCCCTTTGTAAGTGTCACCAGAGTGGGAAAGCCCCCACCTATTAGTGACAATCTCTCTCTCATTGGTGTTGGACATTAGTTTTCTTTTTGAATCTGCCACTATTCTGCTACAGGCATTTGTAGCTCCCTTATTTGAAAATAGGGCTGGAAGCCCTTATTTAAATTTAATGTGACTGCCACCAAAAAAGCACAATTAGGATTACTGCCTAAAAGAATCAGTTTCAAAAGGTTATGAAACATTATTTGTGGGGTATTTTAAACTTATTTAAGTCTTCGAGACTTACATCTTGCAAAAAGGGGCATAATAGGTCCCCTTTAAAAATATACTAATAATAATAGCAAGAAAGGAAAATGAGAAAAAGAATAAAAACATTCCATAATTGTATTTAGAAATGTTTATAAAAAATAGAAAATAAAATATTGAATATTATTTCAATCTAAAAATAACACTTAGCACTTAGGATTTTACAAAAGCGCATTATAAATAAAGTGTATTATTAAAAAACATTTACCATATAAATTTATTAACATTCATGTTCAGCCTTCACTTTGATTTATTATGAGTCGAGTAGATTGCTACATTCGTATGTCAAGTTTTTACAGTAAATACAATGTAATGAGCAATCATTCATTCATTCATTCATTCATTTTCTTGTCGGCTTAGTTCCTTTATTAATCTGGGGTCGCCACAGCGGAATGAACCGCCAACTTATCCAGCAAGTTTTTACGCAGTGGATGCCCTTCCAGCCGCAACCCATCTCTGGGAAACATCCACACACACATTCACACACACACACACACACACACACTCATACACTACGGACAATTTAGCCTACCCAATTCACCTGTACCACATGTCTTTGGACTGTGGGGGAAACGAGAGCACCGGGAGGAAACCCACGCGAACGCAGGGAGAACATGCAAACTCCACACAGAAACGCCGACTGATTCGAGAATCGAACCAGCAACCTTCTTGCTGTGAGGCGAACGTGCTACCCACTGCGCCACTGCGTCGCCTAATGAGCAATCATATAGCTTAAAATGAGTGGCATGGCAAGCAAATCCTCTTATTAATAATTTTAAAATGCCAAAGTGCCTGAAACGAAAACCATATAAAGATCAAATATTCTGAATCCTTTAGTATGAAACGAAATTGTTATAGTGGTGGTTTTTTAACACAAGATATGAATGCTAAACTACTAGTTTAAGTGATAAAGAAAGTGCACAATCTTATTTTATAGGCACCAAAGAAGAGTGACAAACTTTTTTACAGTCTATGGTGAAAACACATTCTTATAAAACCTAAAATGAAATGAGCATTTTCTCATAATGATTTTTTATTATTAATTTGATCCCACAAGAACAAGAGGTATTACATATGAAAATTGTTTTCTGAAAGAGAAAATATAGAAAAACTATATGGGAAAGTTTGGTTTATGTTGAGCCCACTTTTTTATGTATATGATATTTTCCTAACAACATAAATAAAAATATATAGTCCTTTACAATTCAAGTTCTCATTATCAGAACAAAACAATACATCTAATAAACTAATTTCTGTCTTATACTCCATTTTGTTGTTAATAAACAATTTCTAAACCTTTATAAAATATTCTTGAGTAAATACAATGAAAAAAATGCAAAATTGTTTTTAAAATATTTTTTTTTCTTGACCACAAAATTCACACATATATGAAATATCAAGTTTGAATCTTTCCAAAATCTGTTTAGCAGGATAAATTCTATGAAGTATTTTGAAAAGACACTTCTTTGATTCTCTTATTTATACAAAACTTATTTTCAATCCAACAATGTAAAACCCATCAGTCAACTTTATCAAATGAGTTGAGTGTAGTTAACTCAAAATTGACTGAAAGTTAATTCTACTCATTTGAACAGTTTTAAACTGTTCAAGTGTTGAAGGTAGAGTTAATGAAATACATTACTTCAACTTAAATCGAGTAAGTTCACAGTACTCATATAGATTCGTTTTTTACTCAAATGATTTGTTGCAATCGGTTTCAGTTTGAGTTGCCTTAACTTATTGGGTTTTTAGAGACAACAGAGAGCATTTCTTATTGACAATATTTTTAAAGAAATTGTTTTCACAAGGATTACCTGCTAATCTCTTCTTAAATGCAGTTTTTTAAAGCAAAACCACACCCTTTGGAAAACAATAGCGAATTCTCTCGGTTGAACTAGTCATTTAAATTTTTGAAGAAATTCACTGTAAGATTACAAAATCCATGAGGATTAATTAACTTCCTTACTAAAACACCATTATTTAACCAATTCTGATCAATTAATGATTTGTTTTAACATAAAATATACTTGTTATTCCATATGAAATAATTGTGTGGTAAAATTTGTGTTTATATACCAAGTTCCATGATAGTAGAGCTTGTCTGGTTTCTCGCTGTGCATTTTTTTTTTATTTTTTTTTTTTTTTTTTTTTTTTTTTATTGAAAATACAAAATCCAAATACAACAAAATGGGATTCAACTTTACAACTTGTGTGTCATATATGGAAGGCTAAACACAAAATAATATACAAAGATACAAATGTAATATACAAAAAACATTCAAGTTAAATAAATCCAAGAGTGAAAGGAAAACGCAAAATTTAAATAAATAAATAAATAAAAATTAAGTACAACATATATATCAACTATGGCAAGTTATATACTACAAATAAATTGAACATTTTTAAGGCAATTTTTGTTTTCATTTTAACCAGGGCATCTGAAAATATTTTAAGTTCTTTTTTAAATACAATAAGTAATGGAGGTGTTTTGAAATATCTACATTTATGAATAAAATATTTGGCTAACACAATTATCATATTTATCAAATCGTGCAAAGTAGAGTAATCTTTAGTAATTCCATATAGAACATCTTGTAATGTAAAAGTCAAACCTTCAGCATCCACGTTTTTTATTATCAACCAGTCTTGTACTTTTTTCCAAAATGATTGAACAGCGCTGCAAGAGAAAAATATGTGTTCTGTGTCTTCACTAAAGTGTTTACATAAATGGCATGGTGAGTTTTCTAAGTTAAATTTTAGGTGTAAGAATCTATTAGAAGGGTATATATCATTTAATATTTTAAATTGTACTTCTTTTGCCTTGGGGAGAATTGGAAATTTAAGATATGTTGTTCTAAAATATTTAACAGTATTTTTATCCACTGAATGAAATAACCTATTTCTTAATACTTGATAAGGGAAACAAGATTGGATAATAATTTGTCTTAAATGTTTATTAGTGCAAAGTTTATTATCAAATTCAATCTCACCAGTATATAATAAGGGAAGGACTGGAGTAATCTTCGAATAGGATAGGTAACTTTTCATTAACATTTTTATACCTGAGGGTATAGCATTAATAACAGTGAAAAATTGCTTTGGATGACAAGCAAATCCGTGTCTTAGAGTGAAAGTATTGTAATCTAGAATATTGCCCCTTCCATCCATTAAATCTGTTACTGACCAAATGTTTTTATTTAACCATTCTTCATAAAAAATGGATTTGTTCCTGTGTAGAATATACTTGTTATTCCAAATAGGGGTATTGTGAGGTGTAAAATTGTGTGTGTGCGCTAGTTTCCAAGACAGCAAGACTTGTTGGTGGAATGCTGAAAGCTTCACTGGGAGTTTAGGCAGGTCAAAGTCACATCTGAGAAGAAATCGGATGCCACCTAGTTTGTTAAACAAGGCACAAGGAACAGTGTACCAGAAACTTTCAGTATTACTCAAAAACCTTTGAAGCCATTTCAGTTTTAACATAGTATTCATACTTTCAAACTCAATAATATTAAGACCACCTTCTTCATACGATTTGATAATATCAGATTTTTTAATATAATGAGTTTTGTGTCTCCAAATAAAGTCATACATTTTTTGGTTACTTGTTTTTATGAATGCTGAAGAGGGAGCTAAAGCCTGAGCAGGATAAATTAGTTTTGATAGATATTCAACCTTGGATAGAAGAATTCGTCCAAAAATTGAAATATCTCTCTGCAGCCAGCAATTCAGGATACCATTAGCTTTATGTACTTTATTTTCAAAGTTTTCTTTGATGTTAATGTTTGAATCTTTTGAGATCACAATGCCTAAATATTTCACAGTTTCTTTTACTGGGATGTTAAACAGGGATAGATCTGGACTAGGGTGAAGAGCTAAAAGTTCACATTTGTTTAAATTTAATTGGAGGCCAGATGCTTTACAAAAAGAACTAATTAAAGAGATAGCTGGAGAAATTTGGTCTTTATTTTTTAAAAATAATGTGGTGTCATCTGCTAGCTGACTAATTCCTATTGTTTTTCCGAAAATATTTAATTTCTCCACTGAATTATCAAATTTAATTTTTGTGGCTAACATGTCTACCGCTAAAATAAATAAAAACGGTGACAAAGGGCACCCCTGCCTTATTCCACGGCCAATCGGAAATCTATGTGTAGTGCCAGAAGGGAGAGATACTGAACTATTCATATTTCCATAAATCATTTTGATAATATTAACATATTTATCACCAAAGCCAAATAATTCTAAGGACTTGAAAATAAAAGTGTGCTCAATCATGTCAAAGGCTTTCTTAAAATCTAAAAAAAGGATAAAACCATCATCCTCTATTAAGTCACAGTACTCTACCAAGTCCATCACCAACCTTATATTATTATGAATCGACCTACCTTTCAGAAAGCCAGATTGGGATTCGTTAATTAAGTTATGAATACCTTTTTTTAATCTATTAACATATGCGTGTGTGAAAATTTTATAATCACTGTTGAGTAAAGTGATTGGGCGAAAGTTATCAATCAATTTTAAGTCTTTATCAGGTTTTGGAATTAGTGTGATTAAACCTTGGTTCATACTTGGACCTAAAGATCCATCTTCAATAGATTCACGGAAAGCATCAAATAGTAATGATCTAATATCATTCCAGAAAAATTTATAAAAATTAGCGGTGAGACCATCAGGACCAGGCGATTTATTCAATTTAAGCTTTTGAACAGCAGAGTCAAGTTCTTCAATTTGTAAATCGGCCTCACAGCCTTCTCGCCACTCATTGTTGATACGGGGAATATTAGGTAATATTTTATCAAAAAATTCATTTAAATCAGAATGAGAGAGGTTGGAAGAATACAAGTCACTGTAGAATTTAAAAACGTTCTCCCTGATTATAGTGGGGTCTGAGCATTCTGTGCCATTTATTAATAAAGAAAGTATTGAGTTATTCTGTTGTCGTCTCTTTTCTAATCTACAGAAATAAGAAGTACTTTTCTCACCTTCTTCTATCCATTTAGCCTTAGAACGTATATAGGCACCCTTAGCTTTTTTAATGTAGAGGTTGTCAAGTTCTAATTGTAAAGAGATTATTTTAGTCTTTTCTAACTCAGTTAATGTACTATCATTACAACATTTATTAATTTCGTAAATAATATTAAGTTCCTGTTGTTTCCTGACTTTGGCAAGTATTTTACTGTAATTAATAGAGAATTCACGAATTTTATATTTAAGAAATTCCCATCTGGCTTTATTAGAACTAAAATTGTTACTGTTTTTAATATCTAGAATTAGCTCCCTTATTTTTAGACAAAATTTTTCATTATTAATTAAGTCAGAGTTAAATTTCCAATAACCCTTAGTTTTTGATGAGGTATGATCTGTTTGTATTATTAAGGATATGGAACAGTGGTCTGTTAAAGGTGCTGCAGACATTGTACAGTCTTTAGCAAATAAAAGTAAGTTATCTGATAATAACCAATAATCGATTCTTGATTTGCTGGCTGCATTGGGTCTAAACCATGAGAATTGCCTAAGGCTAGGATGAAGATATCTCCAGACATCAATTATTTTAAGGTTAGAACAGAATTTGGAAACCAAGGGATTTAGCAGAGAAGATGTGCTTTTAGGAGGATATCTATCATAAGTTTCATCCGGTACCACATTAAAATCTCCACCCACAACAATATTTTCTGTAGGGTATGATCTCTTTAAATCGGAAATTACAGAGGATATTTCCTGCAATAAATTTTGATTCAATTTAGAATTATTGTAACCATATACGTTTACCAGAATGAAAAAAAAGTGCTCAATATCTAACACCACTGCTAGCCAATGTCCATTAGGGTCATATTTAGCAGAAATTATTTTCCCTGGACAGTTATTAAATAAAATTGCAGTACCAGCCGAGTGGGAGGAACCATGGCTAAGTAAAACTTTATCTCCCCATTGACTAGACCAAAACGAAGAGTCTGAAACAGTTGAGTGTGTCTCTTGTAAAAAAATGCATTGAGAACCATTACTTTTACAAAATAAGAACATTGCTTTACGTTTGACTTTATCTTGGATGCCCCTGACGTTAAGTGACATGAGAGAAATTTTGAACTTAACTGGAAACATAACAAAAATAGCAAAAGATGAAATAAAATAACAGAAATTTGTTCACAAAAGAGGAAATCTCAGAACGGGTGGTATAAACCCCAAACAGTTATAACCACAACAGAGCATACCTCCCAGCCTAGCGTTTCTTAACAGTCATATTTCAAACTGTCCTACCATAAAAGGACAACTACCCAACAAACACAGTTACGTTGTAGCGATGTCTGCACAACGTTGTATTTTTTCAAAGGCAACGTTGCCGCTTACGTGCTCGCTACATTGTCACAACGTAGAAATGTAAGACGTGAGAAGGCTGTAGCAACGTTGTCGTGCGACATTCAGCAACCGCGAGGCGGCGTTCTTACTACTTGTATTAATATTTTTTGTGGCAGTTTATCAATACTGCCTAGAATACAGGATAAGCAGCAATTCTTTTCCAGTATTGCTTAATATGAAATATTGTTCATTTATTTTTCCTATTTAATTTAACAATTGCATGTGTAAACTTTAAAGTGTTTAAAATAACACACAAATGAATATAATCAAACTTTTTATTATATATTTTTACAACATTTAATACATACAGTACACATCTAATTATAAGCAAACAGTATATGTTTAGAGTATATGTTTAGATTATATATATATATATATATATATATATATATATATATATATATATATATATATATATATATATATATATATATATATATATATATATATATATATATATATATATATATAATTAAACTAAAGGGTAAACAAACAAGAAAAGCAAACAAGAAATCATTAAAATGTAAATATACATATAAATAAATATATAAATTAAAATTCAGACACTGGGCAGTGAAGCTCTGGACTGGAGAATACAGCAGACCGGGGAGCGCAGCTGAAGACCAGTCGTAGTTGTTGGTATGGAGAAAGCAGTCAGAGGAAGAAACAAATCCAACAGATAATCCAGCTTCAGAGATCCACAGCAGACACAAGTCAAAATAGGCAGTGAACAAGAGAGGACAGATGGAAACAACTATGACTAGCAAGTTATTGAAGTTTCAGACATTTATTGTAATTTCATTACATATAAAATCTCCAGTGAGTAATTATGTAGCCTACTTTATTTTATTGCTTTAATATATCATATACCAAAATTACATACAATTAAATGAATTTAGAGATACAGGGAAAACAGGTTTGAGTTAACAGAAGTCAGAGTTAGTCTCCCAATACTTACTTAAATTATGAGAAGAGAAAGAAGAGGTCCTATAGTTGTGGCGTTGCTCGCTGTAAATGGAATGTTAAAATTAGTGTCATTTCAATAACAGCTGTACAAAATAATAAAGTAATTTTTCATAAGCATGATCTATTTTCCACATTATGAACATGCTGTTTTAGGTAACGATACTACATTTATTATGATAGTAAATAGAGTAGTATACTTCTTACCTCATTCAATTATTCTTTCCATAGATCAGGAATTACAGCAACACTGATCTGAGGTGAATTCAACAGCTGAAAAAATTCTGAAAGACAAGTTACATAAGTAATTTGAAAACAACAGTGAGTGGTTAAACAATAGAGTTTTATGCAACTTACACATACTTAAAATCCAGAAATTATCAATAGAAGATTACCTCCATGTGAAAATAGCCTGTTGAGCAAAGAAAAGAGTGGGTTTTAAATAAAACATCAAAAGATAAATCAAAATAGAAATTTAGACTAGCAGACCTTTTTATTAATATCTATATTAATCAGGCATATGAACATCAACTTATATACTTTAACTTATAGGGATAGCTCACCCAAAACTGACAATTCTGCCATTTAGCCTCATCCTTTATTTGATCCAAACTTATTTAGCTTTTTTTCTGCTAAACAATAAAAAAGATGTATTAAATAAAGCTGGAAAACTGTAACTATTTAATTCCATAGTGTTTTCCTACTATGAAAGCAAATGCTTACAGTCTTTAGTGTTCAATAGAATAAAGAAACTTAAAGGTTTGGAATCACTTAGGCTATTATTTACAGGGCAAATAATTCGTGAGTACATATCATTTTTGAGTGAACTGTTCCTTTAACGGGACGCAAACTGCACAGAGATGTTTTGTATTTAAAAGTTATTTTGTGTGTTTTGTAAAAAGTGGATCGGCTCGTGTGATAAAGTATCAGACTGATCACTATGGATATGGAAAAAACTGAACTTCAAAAACATTATTTTCCATTTGACTAAAGACTAAGCGTAGGTAAATAATCAGGAAATGTTTTATCGAAAGATTTAACATAATGATTTTAATGTTGTTGCCGTCCGTGAACGGAATGCTGAAATGTTACTCGCTCGTAATAACTTCATTACGGCTTTTGTGTGTGTGTAATGTTGGAACAGATTGTTGTCGAAATCGTAGGTTTGTTTGAATATTCACGATTTACGTATCTTATTTAGCAAGAAGAAATAAAACAATACTCACGTCTCCTCGGTCGTTGATGAATGAGACGACGGCTTGTTGAAATTTAAACTGATTCAGCTGTGACCAGTAAATGTTGTACAGTGGTCGTCCACGCCACCCAAGCACAACCTAAAGTATGCGGCCCTCGTGATGTTTAAATGGCAACCTTATGTCATCGTTGTGACAACGTTTAGCAACAACGTAGAATCCTCAACCTTTTTGCAAGGTTGGTACAACGTTGTAGGAAGGTCGCTACGTTGAGGCAACGTTGTGTGTTTGTTGGGTACACAGTCATGCGGCGTCAATGCGCTTCCCTTCAATATACCCGAACGGTCCACGGTAGTAGGCTATCTTTCCTGCTTTTCGCGCCTGATCGATCAAAGGCCACAGCGCAGCGCGGGCCAGCCGGTCCTCCCTCGTCATATCCTCCGTGAAACGAACTCCGTGGTCGCGGCACACAGATGAATTTTTAGTAGACCTCCAAATTTCGTCCCTGTATTTACGCATTGTGAACTGCACAATCACTTGCCTGGGTTTACCTAACTCCTTCTTGCCAACTCGGTGCACTGTGTCAACAATGTCTTCTAATTTATGAATCAAATGCGGAGCAATTTCAGCGATCATGGCAATCGTTTCTTTACGAGCATCCTCCTCGGGCTTCTCTTTCATCCCGTTGATCCGGAGATTCCATCTCCTTTTGTATCGCTCTAGCTCTGACGTTCTGCTCGCCAGGTCTTTGTGTGATGTTGTTAGATATAGGAGTGATTTGCTCGCTTCTGCACATTTTTCTTTGCAATCTTTAATTTCAGCGGCATTGAATTCAACCGCCTTAGAAATCTCTGCCACCATGATACTGTTCTTTCGCATCTGATTTGCCATGTCTTCTAACTGTTCATTTTGTACGTCAAAACGAGCTGTCAGTGATGTTATGGCTTGCAAGAGAGTTGCGTTAGTGATGTCATCATCATGAGGTTTTAGCTTTTTTTTATCGTTGTCTTTGGTCGGGGTGAAATGGGATGCATCACGCCGTTTGTCTGTTTTAGCCGTCTGTACCTCCATTTCTGGATCTGAGGCCGCGTCCTTCACTGAAGTGATGTATATCTTTGGGTGGGTAGTCTGCTGTGAAGATTTCGGCATTTTGACGATGTTAAACACCCCTGTGGTGTTTAAATGTTGTTTTAGGTAGGTGAAGATGAAAATTTGTTGAATTCTAAAGATAAACTAGAAGTTTCGCTAGGCTGCTCGGTGAAAACGCATGCGTTCAGCCCGCCATCTTGTCCCCCCGGTTTCTCGCTGTGCATAGAACGTGGCGTACGGCGTGGTGACATCATATCCGCGCTCCGGAAGCTCAAGCTCGTCGCTGGTTAAACCCAAAGCCTCTTGTGTACGTTGAAGCCAGGAAGGGTCGAGTGTTTTCCCCCCCGTTTAACGCTACATATAGGCGGTGACATTTGTTTAAAGACTCGTGAACGTGATCGAAGATCGTCTTTAGTCAGAAATGGACTCTTCTGAACAGGGTAAGTGTCGTCTGTAAAGAGTTTTCAATGTGTTTTTCAGCAGGTGCACTAAAGGTGCGTGTCAGTGTGGGTGGCGCTTATTAAAAGTGCAAAACAGACCGCTGAAAGGGAGAGAAGCATATGGAGTTCTCCTTAATATTATTGAAATGTTTATTGTAAGTGTTTCTTGGGGTTTAAGTGGGGTGTTAAAAATTAGGTGCACTAAAATAACATGAGCTGCCAGTTCAGTAATGGAGCAGTCGACCTGACAGCTGAACATGTAGTGTGTTGACCTTTTTAAAGAAAACAAATGGGCTTTGCTGTCTGGCAAAGGACACTAATGTGCAACATCTGATAGTGTGCCTCTGCTTTAAAGTGGACTTTCTGGAATTGCATTAATCGTGTTACTGATTTTTGCTTGGTATTTTGTTTATTTCAAGCTATAAGAAAAAAATGAGGACGACGTAGAAGTCTCAATGAAAATGTACCCTGGTTTCATCAAAGTCAGAATGAACATTCTTAAACTCAAACCTATACTGTTTTAGATGTTGCCTTTAGAAGTTAATAAAGTTGCTCCTTGGCTGTTGTCAGAAGTGTTCTCTTTATGTTAAAGCCGTTTTAACACCCTTGATGAGATGGTTTTCTGAGCACCACACCCATCCCCATTCTACAGTTGTTACCATTTGGTCGAGATGTAGTCACCTCAAACAATGCAGAGACAACAAACTGTTGGCTTCTCTTTTCTCTCGTAATTCAGCTCTTTGGGAATTAGCATCAATTCACCATTTAGAGTGGAAGTTGTGTCGAGGCTGGCTCATTTCTTACAAAGCTTAAAAACAAACGAGAAACAACACAAATCATGGATATCAGTTTATCAGCTCTTTTGAATTCCCAAATTATAATATTTTTCCTCCAGGCTCTTCAATGAATGCAGGTATAGCAGCTGGAATGACTCTACCGCCAGGCGTGACCGAGGAGGAGGCAGAAGAGATGCAGATGGAGCTCATCAAGGTACAAGACATTTATCCTCCTCCTCATTTACAGCACAGTCTACTGTTAATGTGAAATATTAGGAAGATTATTTTAAGCAACATCTTATTGGGAAAGTTAAACAAAAAGTGAAGAAGAGTTTGAATAAATATATATATATATATATATATATATATATATATATATATATATATATATATATATATATATATATATATATATATATATATATATATATATAACGTGTATATATAATTAGATGCGCTGGAGGGACTATGTCTTTCAGCAAGCCTTGGAATGCCTCAGGATGCCCTGGAGAAGCTGTAGGAAGTGTCTGGGGAGAGGGAAAGTGTGTACTCTCCTAAGACTGCTGCTCTTGCAAAACGGCCTCGGAAAAGCAGTTGGAAAAAAAAAAAAAAAAAAAAATATATATATATATATATATATATATATATATATATATATATATATATATATATATTTTATTTTATTTTTTTTATAATATACGTCTCTTTATATATATAAAATTCTCATATTTTTGGAGCGATTTTGGTTCTCTTTGAAGCTCGACAGTGACTCACTCTCAACTTTGATATTTGATAAATACCCTGTTCGTGTCATGCTTGTGGTACATTTTTTTAAAATGCAAAGCACGAAGATTTCTTTTTGTTTTTAGTTTTTCTGAGCAGAGAAAGACTATCATACATTCATAAACCTTCATTTACAGAAGGTAACCGCTAAATTATTATTCATGTAACATTAATGTATGTAGAAAGATATTGAAAGATATAAAGATCACCGTGCAGCCCAAAAAAACTGAATATTTGCAATGTTCCATAATTTGTTGCTCTATTAAAACACTCTATTAACACAATGTGATAATATTTAGTATGATCAGGTTTTGTCAAATACTTGCAGATATTAAGTGCAGATCAGTATCCTTATCATTCATTCATTCATTCATTCATTTTCTTGTCGGCTTAGTCCCTTTATTAATTTGGGGTCGCCACAGTGGAATGAACCGCCAACTTATCCAGCACGTTTTTACGCAGTAAAACGCCCTTATCCTTATCATTTTTAGATAAATATATGTTACATTGACTGACAATGGGACATTATTTCAACAGTTTTACAATTATTTAGTGTTTTTGTTTTATGGAACGGAAAGAGGATCAAATAAACTAATGAATCAGTTAGGTCTGAAACTCTAAGCTTTAGTTGTATAATTTTGTATTTTTTTGTAAGGTGGAAGATGAGATTGAGACACTGAGACAGGTTCTGGTGGCGAAAGAGAGACACGCGGCTGAGCTCAAACACAGGCTGGGCATCAGTCCTCTCTCTGAAATCAAACAGAACATCACCAAAGGCTGGCATGACGTTCAGTGCTCCAATGCGTGAGTACTTCTGTCTGTTACAACCCCCCCTCTGTGTCCCATTCTTTTGTCTTTTACCTCACGATGTCTTTCTAAACAGGGGCTGTCTGAATCTTTTAACAGGACCCTCTAATAGAACATTAATTACTTAACCTTGAGTTAGGGCTGTTAACTTTGTTAAATGAATTGCTTGGTAATGTAATAGTTGTGTAAAATGTTTATTTACTACAGGGTAATGTTGGCAAGACATACATTACATTTATACAACTCGCAGCATGTAGCCAACAGAATGCAGTTATATACCTATGAAGATATTAAGCATAATTTCCAATATTGTGCAGCCCTAGTTTATATCATATAATATAAGCCATATAAATCAGGCAAAGAGTGTTTTGCATTACACAAACAAAGAGCCATTCACTTTGTTTCTGAATCAGTCAACTGTTTGAAGGATTGGAATGTAAAACATTTACCACCATCAACTGGCAGTTTTGGTTTCATATTTAGACTGGTATTTAATAACAATAATAGTGTGGTGCAGTGGGTAGCACGATCGGCTCACAGCAAGAAGGTCGCTGGTTCGAGCCTCGGCTGGATCAGTTGGCATTTCTGTGTGGAGTTCGCGTGTAATAAAGGGATTAAGTCAAAAAGAAAATGAATGAGTAATAATAATAATAATAATAAAACCATATTTCCATCAAAATAATAAAGAAGACTAAACTGAAATTCACAAAAAATAGCTAAAAACCTAATTTTTTATGAGTAACTGTCACATGTATTTAAATATTTGAATTTCTCAGCAGCCCTAATTTGACTATATACTGCATATACTTTGTATATTTGCATATACATGTATAAATAAGTATTGTATATATTGTTTATGTATATGAACAATATTCATACAAGAATTATTTATGCATACACAATATCTCTGCAGTTTATTTTCCCTTATGTTGATCACTAGCATGTCCGCTAATTCCAAATTAAACTTCTTTTGTTTCAGTTTCCATTAATATTTCTGTATTTCTGCTTCTAGTTATATGAGAACCTCACAAACTCTTGGAGATTTGAATCGTAGAGTTACTTCATCTAATTTGTGAGTTTTCTCTCTTTCTTCTCCAGTAGTTTCTTGTTCTTGTGCTTGGTCTGTTTGCTACAGTAGGTGTGGACTAGCTGCCCGCTTGTTTCTGTTTCACTTGTATTCTTAACGCCCCTTCCTATGATCCTCTGCCTGCTGTCTGATCATTTTGCCATCTTGTTTCTGTTTCATCTGTATTCTTTATAACTTTTCCCATAATTCTGAATAAATTAAGTAAACATTTCAGTGCTTGCCTTCGGTAAGTGGGAGTTTGCCATGTCTCAAAGAAAAGATTACAAAAGAGAAAGTTATCTTTCCATTGCTGGATCAGTGAAGCCTGCTCTGTGAAATAAAAAAAAAATATATATATATTAAACACACGAATCTGAAATGTTATTCTGTCTCTTTTGCTTGTAACTTTAAGGAGGGCTCCTCAAAATTACAAGGCAAAAGTATAGCATATATATATGTTCTCAATGCACTTTATTATGTAGTTAAATCTTATTAATGCCAAATTCCACTGGCCAAATTATGTGGTTGAAAACATCAGTGTCGTTGGGCTTCAGCTCATATATGAGTTTGGGTTGGGCGATGTCAACCAATTTGGCATTTTGCGATGTCTAATGTGAACCATTGCGATGGACGATGGCATTGCCGTAGGCGGCGGTGAATTAATTATTCATGAATAAATAATTAATTCACTACAAATTATATATTTGTACCCTACCGTTTCAACTACCTCACCTGCATGGTCAAGTGTGTTCAAGCATGGACATGTTACACGCACATTACCACATGTCAATCACTTTTCTGTGGGACTCTGACATAATAGGCAGAGTGATTTGTGTCATTATAATGGCGTCGACAAGCTTGGTTGGTAAACAAGACGCAAATCCAACAGGAACCAACCAACAGAATCTGAGTTTTTTGCTAAAATTCCTAAGTACAAGCGTGAAAGTAAAAGTTTGAAGCAGTGTACTGACTCTGATGCACGTTACCTGATAGATTCAAAAGACAAAAGATTCGTTAGATTGAAAGAAGAATTATTAATTACCACGTTTAACAACTATAGAGAGATGCAATACAGCTCTACATCCTTGATAAACTGTTCAACGTGCACTGCTCTCTGGGGTTTTGTGCTCAAAGCATCCACTAACTGCCTGAAGCTCAGCCGAGAGTGTGTGCATGTGTGTGTGCGTGTCTCGTCATGTGATGTGTGTTTTCAGCGGTATAGTGTGGACAGAGGACTGTTCAGAAATCCTAAATGAAGTGCCAGTGTGGACGTGGATAGTTTTTGTTCTAAATTGGCATTTTAAAACTAAGACATATTAGTGTGAATGGGGCCTAAGTGTGTA